AATGTTTTTCTCCATCGAGTCAATTTCTTTACATGTCTACCTTTCATTGTCTTCTGTGGTGAGGCTACAAGGAGTCAAGTGCACATCACATACTTGCAGTACGGAACTCGTCTGGTGGATAGCTGTCTCTTTGGGTTTAACCGTTTCAGTATTCAAACCAAGAAGAGAGAACAAGCGCAGTGGGACAGCGGCCATTTGAATAATTGAAGAGACTCCGTGGTGCTGCAGGATCCTCTCTCTCGTCTTTACACTCACTATAGCTACCATCTTCTTTCTCCATCATTTTATTTTCCAGTCTAGCTACTTGAAGTTTGTCCCAGAAAGCAGTCTGGGATTTGTGCGAGAACAGCAGCGCTACCAAAAATCCCAGTGGAGCGCTGAAAAAGAGACAGAAAGAAGAAGGAAAATGGAGGAACTTCACAGTCCACATTTTGACAGACGAGTGGCTAGCGACCTAAAAGGCATCAAAGAAACAAGTCGCTTTTACTTGTTTCACAAGTAAACAGAGCTTTTCACTAAAATATGACAGACAAAACCAAGGTTGTCAAGGGAGGAACAATTTTATCGTACCAATTACAAAAAAAAAAAAAAAAAAAATTGACATGGGGAAATAATTTAGGGAAATGAAAATAAAACATTCTGCTTGTGATCTCAGTGTTCCTTGTAAGAAAATTATGGCACACATAACCCATCTGGTCGATTTAGTGCAATGTAATGTTTGCAAGAGTTTTATTTGCTTGTGTCTGGATCAGGTTTAAAAGGAAATCAACACAGATGGGTTACGAAATGGGAGGAGGAGGAAAATTGGATGAAATTGGGCACTATACCTACGGTACAGTAAGGCCACTACAGGCAAACTAATGCTATAAGTGAAGGATGTTGACCCGGAATAATGCTATGGTCAGATACTTATTGCCAGACTTCAACACAGCAGAGGATCTTTTCTTTTGTGAAGTTTCATTATGCTACTCCATCCATCCATCCATCCATCCATTCATTTTCTGATCCGTTTATCCTCACAAGGGTGGCAGGGCGTGCTGGAGCCTATCCCAGCTGTCTTCGGGCAGTAGGTGGGGGGAGACCCTGAACTGGTTGCCATCCAATCGCAGGACACACATAGACGGACAACATGCGCGCTCACACTCACACCTCGAGACAATTTAGAGTGTTCCATTAAACTGCCGCGCATTTTTGGGGAATGAGGGAGGAAACTGGAGTACCCGGAGAAAACCCTAGCAGGCATGGGGAGAACATGCAAACTCCACACAGGAAGGCCGAGGTCGGAATCGAACTCTGCAGTTCTGCACTTTGAGGCCGACGCACTAACCAGTCGACCACCAAGCTGCCTACTATGCTACTCATGAAAATAAAAGGAAAATACATTTTGTATTCCAGGAATGTCAATCTGTTTAATTTTCATATGGAAATATGTAGAAAATAGCAGACAACAAAACAACTGTTCTGAATGTGATTTACATGGGTTGCAGACAAAAACAAACTATGTGGCATTGTCAGTCTCGGGGATTAAAAAACTGAATGCATTATAGGGTGTGTGGAATTTTTTTTTTCAAAGCCTAATAACCAGATCTCATTGTATGATCTCAAAGGTTAGCAAACAATTTCACAAAGTTTTGCTTTTTTTCCCCCCACCACAATTCCAAATAGTTCCCAGGTGTTTGAATACCATGTCTGTGACTTGCTTTCCTAATACTCCAAGGATCAAGATTGGCACTACACTTTACACCCTATGTTGTAAAACTCTTTGAAGTTAGCCTACTTTGTGTGGGCGGTTCTCTCTCATACAAGCGTGCCGCTGCTCACCTCACTCCATTGACTGCGAGGCCAATGCAAGTAAGGACAAGACATGCTGCATCGTGTTCAGCAGGATAACTGACTGATAACTGGCCAGACAACTGACTTCGTTGTGTCATTATACACACATTCACACACTTTCACAGTCACTACCAATTGATGAGAAGTTTACCCAAGTTCATCATGGACATACATCATTATTGTTTGTTTTGGCTTTTAAATATTGATTTCAAAATCTGCTTTTTTTCCTAGAGTACGAGGAATACTGAGATTCAAAATCCAGAATTTGTTGCACAAGCTTCAATGTACTTTGGGACTGTTGAATATGTGTAGACGATGCCAAACCTTACTATGCCACAAGTTTGTTGAGGACTACAAAAAAGATCTTCTAAATTTTTCTTCAATTTAGCTTCTCCATATCTCCGGCAGGAATTTCAAGATGGAAGCCTTTTCTGGCAAGGACAAACATCCAAGTTCTGTGACATATTACGCAAAAAATCATGCATGGTCGAGTGGTCTAATTAAAATCAAGGTTGAAGTCACAGTAGGTTGTTTTGCGTTAGATGTACATTGAAATGGTGAATATTAGAATATTAGTTTGATTAGGTGTGATTGGTCAAATCTGAACACAGCCCGGTGTGAGCTTTTGTGCAATTGCATTACCTGAAGTGCTTATTTTTACTTCCACCCTCCAAATTATTTTTTTTCCTTTTCAATCGAATAGGGCTGCCAACATTAGTCAAGTAGTCATGATGACGTCGACGATCAAAATCGTTGCCAATTAATTGAATAGGCCATGAGTCATTTATTCATGTATTTATTTATGACGCGCTTTGTTTTTCTCTCAAAATTGTTTCGTCTTGCTCTTTTGCCGCTGGCTTTAAGCCTTTTCTGTGATGCACATGCGCAGTAGTAGGAATCTGGGTCATACTTTATTGAAACAGAATACACATTTGTGGGTAAAGCAATGGCACGGCAAACCCGTGTTCAGAATCAGAATCATTTTTGTTGGCCAAGTATGTAAAAAAAAAAAAACGCAAGAACTTTGTCTACGGTAGTATAGGCTACACTAGTATTGCAATAACAAGCAACTATGATAAACAAAGAAATTATATACAAGTCTAAAACGACTTCCCGTAATGTAAGGGTACTCTTATGCAGTAGTACCACCCAATGACAGCTGTGAGACAATGTGCAGTCATCGAGCAAAGACAAAGCGATCAGTAGGGCAATACAATAAAATGACAGTTGTGCAGTTGATGCAGATAATCGTTGCACCATTTTTAAGTGACCAGTAGCAGTAATTGTAGGACAACTTTAGGTGTGCAATTATGCAGAAAGTGCTTGAGAGTGGCGGCACGGTGGTCTACTGGTTAGCACATTGGCCTGACAGTGCAGAAGTGCAGTGTTCGATTCTGGCTCTGGCCTTCCTGTGTGGAGTTTGCATGTTCTTCCTGTGCCTGCGTGGGTTTTCTCTGGGAACTCATGTTTCCTCCCAGAGTCCAAAAACATGCCTAGCAGGTTGATTGGGCACTCCAAAGTGTCCCGAGGTGTGATTATGAGGCAAATGGTTGTTTGTCTGTATCGGTCCTGCGATTGGCTGGCAACCAGTTCAGGGTGTACCCGGCCTCCTGCAGGAAGACAGTTGCCGTGAAAACCCACGCAGGCACGGGGAGAATATGCAAATTCCAAACAGGAAGGCCAGAGCTGGAATCAAACCCTGCATCTCTGCAGTGTGAGGAAGACCACTAAGTAGTCACCGTCCCGCCCTAACCCACACTACATGCTTGACAATTAAAACACAGTGTTACCAATATCATCTGCTGAAATTGTCACTTGGACTAAAGGAAAAAAAAATCTATCTCTCCATCCATCCATCTTTCAGTTGTATTTGCCTGTGTGTTTATCCATCCATCCACCTTCTTCTGCAGCTTGGTGGCCGAGTGATGATCATGTCTGACTCACAATGCTTTGGATTCGAATTTGGGGTTCTCAGGGTTACTCCCGCATTCCAAAAGCATGCATCACCGAAAAGACCAGACACAAACATATATAAATGTATATCATATCGACTTTTATTCATTACCCTTTTATTAACATGCATTACAGTATTTGGTATTGCATTAATCCGAAAAAGCTATTATGATTTATCAGGTTACAAAACAGTGCTTTAATAATACAGTAGATACTTGGATTAGCGACATTTCTTTAACAGGTAACAAACTGTAGCCTATCGGAATACGTTTTCTAACCCTCTTTTCAACATGCTGGATTAATGAATCCATGGATGCCTTTTTCGATGGGAGGGTTTGAGACTAACGCCTGTAGGTGGCAACCATACCTCATAAAGTACTCCATCACAGACGCGCGCTCGCGCACACTCACGCACGTGCGCGCACACAGGTTTGATGCGTTAATGCCATTGATCCCTGATAATTGACGACCGCTGTGTCATTTAAATGGCCAGATGGACGCGCAGGCAAAGTGGTCCAAGTGAAAGTGGTCCCTGGGCGCTCACTTCTAGTTTGCTTCACTGGCTCACACGCCTCCCCGCGCGCGTACAAAAACCGAAAAACCGTGCACATGATTGCGCGCACAAATGTGCAGTCGGTGGGGGGAAGCCGGTGGTCGAAGCTGCTTCGCTTGCACCACACGAATGCTGCTGCCGCCACTTCGTACCTGCGGAATTATTACTAATAGCTGCGCTTATATGATCAATACGTCGAATTGCTTAGGGCGGTGGGGGCAGAGCCACGCAGGCGGCTCTCCACATTCTATTTGATTGAAAATACAATTTGCCATACGCTGTGTAATTTTTAAAGCAGCGTATACGTCAGCCCACTTGTCCTGTCCCGGACGGGTGATGCTCACAGTCGGCTGGCGATCTTAAACATTGCATTCAATAGGTGTTCCGAGTTTTCCTCCCAGGCCTGCCTTGCTCCCATAAATACCTTCAACAGTTCACTGTCTCATTTATCTGCACCTGTAAAGTGGAGGGTGATTGTGGAGGAAAACGTCCAAACCCCAAATACTCCAGTTTTGATTTGTGTGAATGTGGATTTGCGCATGTATGGTTGTCATTTTTTCCGCCAACGAGGAATCTGCCTGTGGGAGTCAGTTTTGGGCTTGACTAGTTTGGGTAACAAGGGCGCCATCACAGACTCCATCCCTCCCCCCCTCCCCACCACCATCACCAGAAACTCTGCAGGATCTCCCCGTCTCACTCCAGATCGGAATATCTTCAAGTCTTGGTTCCGCTGATAGTGCTGTTTGCCGGTTCACAGACGGGCTCATCGCCATCCATGGGAACGGGTGGCGAGCATCGCAGATCCGCGCAACTCTTTTTTCACTGCTTGGCATTTTTCTCAGGCGAGCATTCTGACTTGTGATCGAGAGGGAGACTAGGACTGCAGCAGCCTTCCAAAAAAAGCTCCTCTCACATGGAGATTGGCGCTTCGCTCGCACTGCAAATCTTCCATTACGGGAACCAGGGCCCTGCTGATTTTTTTCTTCAACGCTCCTAGTTTGTATTCACTCGATAAAATGCGTAAGTATTTGATTGCATTCACTCAAATTCAGCCCACGTCCCGTGTGATATACACGGATCGTGTCATATATCTTAAATTGACCGGTTGCAATGCGGAAAACGGGGCACTTGAAGCTAATACTTGAATGTATGGTAATATACAATTATTTTGTTAATGCCTTGCTCGGTCCATTTCCATACCAGTGTGCTTTTTATGATACCTGCCGCATCCGCTGGTGTGTTCGTATGCGTGTTTGTGAATGTATCCCATTCAGACGTATAGATGATGTTCGATGTAGATAAACGCAGATAGGATCGGTGTGGAGAGGTCCGTGCAACAAATTGCTGGTTTGAGCGCTTGCTGGAGGTAGTATGGATGTGTGAGAGTCCCTGTTGCCAGCGGGACATCACTGCTAGAAGAGACGTACGTCATATGGTAATTCAAATTCTGTTCAGGTATTCTCAGCATACACGTTTGCAGCACAAAGAGAGCGCAGGGATTGGGCCAGACGTGAAGGGGTTCTGAAACTGGAGTGTGGCATCTTGTAGAAGCCTAAACTCAAGATGGATTTTCACTGAATCTATACAGGGGCAAACCTCCTGTGTGTACAGTATGCCTATGCGCCCCCCCCCCCTCCACACACACACATGTATCCTGTTGTCTTTCCCAGCAAGCCTCTATGTGGTGGTGCAACTCCAGCAAGAATGAAGCTCCCATCTAGTACTTAACACTGTGACACAAGGTGGATGTTTGAAATATCATCTTAGTCTGGCCTATCTGTTTAAAATAAAGTACAAATAAATAGAAACAATTCATCAGTGCTGCAGGTGCTAAAAATGTAAATAGTGTAAATTCTTGGTTGAAGCTTGGTGTGAAGGAGCTGCATGAGGAATAAGCATCACATAAAAAACTGCACGACTTTGTCCTCAAGCGTACACTGTTAAATCCACAGCCTAAGTTTACTGTACAGTGAACAATGTGCCCCCCCCCCCCCCACCACCACCACCACCATGCTTTGCACATTTGCACAATACATGAGCTGCAGAGTTTACAATGGTTTCATTCCTATGGTGGCAACGTAAACCCAAATTAATATGCAAATCAGAACGTGGTGCAGTCTATTACTAACCTATGGTAACACAATAGTGACGTCATGAAAATAGCAAATATTTGTCTGAAAAACTCCTTGACAACATAAATATAAGCCAACCAAATGAAAAACAGTCGTATTCTGCTGCTGCTATCTCTGCTACATTCAATGGACAGTAATCAAATATCTTCCGGGGCCTCAGGCAGCCAATCACATTAACATTCCCCCAATGATGCCACCATGGAGGGAAATTAAGATCATTGACACACTGATGACACAGCATCAGGGGAAACAGGGGCTTTTGTATCTTGGATTGCCTGCACCATGCAACTAACCATTTCCATACCCATCATATTTGCTGATTATTCGATGTTAGTCCGTCAACATGACCTCAATCAGGCTTCACCTTTGACCATTTCAAACACGAAAACAACAGGTCAAACTGAATCCACCTTTTTATACACACATTTGAGCTGGCTCATTGGTCTTCAGAAAAAGAAGAAAAAAAAACACCCCCCAAAAAAACGACTGAAGAAGTCCAAAATTAATCAGTCAGGACATTCAACGAGAAAAAGAAGACTTTATTTGGTGATGCAAGTAAATATAATTTAACATCTTAATATTGAAATGAAAACAAATTAGTCAGGTGTGTTTTGTTTTTGTTTTTTTGTTTTTTTTTTTTGGTAAAACATTCAATGGAAAAAGTTGTGGGCAAGAATACTCATAAATTTAGTGTTCAAAACATTAGTTTTTAAAGCTGAAATGGTGTCAGGCATCTGTTGTATTAAACAGATACACCTGGCTTCCTTATTCAGCTATGCTGTACATGAGAGGGGCAAAAGATTAGAAACAGTTCTCCTTGCGTTGCTGCGCAATTTTATATCACTGCAGCTTACAAGCACATTCATAAACACGCATTGTAAAATTCATCCATAGCAAACAGTGCCAATTTGTTTTCATTATTATGGTTTTATTCATGATAGTTACTGTTATTTCCAGTTGTTCATTGGAGGGGTGGGACAGGCCTCGATGAAGTTTGTCCCAGATCAGTTTTAGAGCCATTTGTACCATTTTCTCAAGGACCACCTACAAATAAATAAATAAATAATCAAATTATAATTGGCCGGCAACCAGTTCAGGGTGTACCCCTTCTACTGGGATAGGCTCCAGCACACCCGCCCTCGTGAGGAGGTTAAGGGGCTCTGATAATATGTGTGTGTGTGTGTGTGTGTGTGTGTGTGTGTGTGTGTGTGTGTATCGATAGAGGTGGTCTTTTTTAGGTGGACATTTTGATTGAGTTTGATGGAGCTGTATTTATTTTCTTAGTTTGTGCAGGTTTACCTTAATGTTGTAGCTGGTGAGTGGTAGTGAGTCAGTTGAGCCATCCGAGTTAGGAAGTCGACAACCTGCTGGGAAAATAACTTTTCACTTCTGTCATGATGAACGTATCTCCCATGTGTATTAAATCTGTTCTGGACCCATCATGTAATGTTGATTTGGGTTTGTCACCACGGCAGAAGAAAGACAATACAGTAGAATCTAAAAAGGGGTGGGAGGTTTTGGCATTAACCAATATCTGCTAAGGGACTAAATAGCTGCTCACCTCTAACAGAAGCTTTCACCATGGGAAACAAGGTCCTGGGCAAAAATATCTCCTTCATGCAAGGCACGCATGTAGTCACTGCCTCACCTCAGTGAACAGTGACTAATTTAGTATCCAAGGCGATTCTATCCCCAGTTTTGTTCTTGCGCAACCCGCTAGGTAGAAAGGCAAAAAGCTTTGTCTAATTGCAGCTTGATGGGACATGGTTCTTTGTTGGCTCTCTCTGGTGACAAGCTGCCATCTTAAACTTCGACATTTATGGTGAAATCAACAACGGAATAAAGCGCTATTTACAGTATTTACATATATTCCCAAGTGATTATGTCTGTCTACAACTGTTCTGTCATCACCACCGGCCGAAACCACATTGTTCTATCATCCGACATTATTGGTTGAAGATTGCAAATTGTAGTCGAAGCATATCAGCAGTATATGCAGCACAACAGTCAGCCTTTTATTAAAGTCATAGATTTCTTGTTCGAACCACAGGACATAAAATAATGAGAGCGCTAGCCGCACCCAACCTTTCATTTCACAACACTAAGCATGGTGGGATGCTAATCACTGAGCAATTTCAAGGACCACTGATACTGGGAAAAAATAAGTGTTTCCCCTTAGTTTCTCAAATAACCTGCAAGGTGAATTATGCCTCTTAATTATTGGTACCTTGCAGTGATGTGGTTTACATGAAGCATAGCTGATTGACACTGTAGCACAAACACTGATGGATTTGAATTACACAAGAGCAAAAGTAAAAAGACGTTGCTTTTTTATTGACTGTTTCTGGGATTTTAGATGCGATAAGAAAATGTATGTTTTATGGGTTTACTTAGATACTGTTGAATTGTTTTTTTTTTTTAATCTTTATACAATATCCATCACCAATATCTAGAGCAGATGTAAAAGTATACACCCCCTCTTCAAATGCCAAGCTTTTGTGGTATAAAAAAAAAAAAAGAGATATACACTGAAAAACTGGTGTGTTCAACTTACTGAATTTCATGTTGTCATTTAATTGCATGAAATAAGATTATCTAGATCAGATACATTTTATAAGTCGACTACTGTCCTACACCAGATAAAAAAATGTCTTAGGATCCAGATGTTTTTATTTCATGCAACCACTTGATGGAATAAAACTGTCAATTCCACACACCATTTTTCCTGTGTCGTAAATCTTCATTCAAAAACCTTTTCCACCATTAAGGTGTCAAATAACATGTGCAGCTTAACTGTTAAAAAAGACCCCTTTTAGAGTGGGAAAGAAACAAATAAATAACTGAAATAATGTGGATTTTAAGTGTGCACATGGGGATGTGGCTGTTTTCAGAATTAAGCAATGACATTCAAACACAATGTGGATTGCGAGTCAGCGCACTCCGGCCACCATTTAAAGTACTCCAGTCTTGACCTCACAGTGCAGAGGTACTGTGTTCAATTCCAGCTCCGGCCTTCCTGTGTGGGGTTTGCATTCCCCCCGTGCCAGCGTGGGTTTTCTCCGGGTACTCCGGTTTCCTCCCACATTCCAAAACATACACGGCAGGCTGATTGAACACTCTATATTGTCCACAGGTGTGAGTGTGAGCGCGGATGGTTGTTTGTCTCCAATGGTTGTGTGCCCTGCGATTGGATGGCAACCAGTTCAAGGTGTCCCCCGCCTACTGCCTGAAGACGGCTGGGATAGGCTCCAGCACCCCCCGCGACCCCTGTGAGGATAAGCGGATCGGAAAATGGATGGATGGATGTTTCACCCCATGTTCAACTGGCCTTGTAGGCTTTTCCTGACATTTTTTTGTCATCAAGCAGAAGCATGAAGGTTTTGTGTTAACACTGATAGATATTTTGAATTCCTGCCACCTTGATTAGGACCCAAGTTCCAGCTGAAGACAAACAGCCGCAAAGCACTGCCACCACCACCACCACCACCATGCTTCATTGTCGGTCTGGTGTTCTTTTGGTGATGAGCAGTTTTGTGTCTGCACCAAACATGTCTTTCGGAAACGGCTGTCCAACAGTTCAACATTGATTTCATCAACCCAAAACTCATTTTCCCACATGCATTTGAGAAATTTCAATGCCTATTGGGGAAATTTAAACAAAATTGAATGTGCAGACATACTATATGAAAGAAATGGAAGATTGTTGTGTCATGTCCCAAACAGACAGTATTTGCCAGAAATTCGAGCAGCTTGTTCAATGTTCCTGTCGGCCTCTTGGCAGCCTCTCTGACCAGTTTTCCTCTTGTCTTATAATCAGTTTTGAAGGGATGACCCTTTTTTGGTAATGTCAATGCTGTGCCATGTTTTCTAGTCTGGATGATGACTGTC